TTGATGGTATTGATACAAGATTGATGGTATGATACAGGATTGATGGTATGATACAGGATTGATGGTATGATACAAGATTGATGGTATGATACAGGATTGATGGTATGATACAGGATTGATGGTATAATACAGGATTGATGGTATGATACAGGATTGACAATATGATACAGGATTCTCAGTATGATAAGGGATTGACAGTATGGTACAGGATTGACAGTATAGACAGTATAGAATTGATGCTTTGATACAAATTGAAATTATGATATGGGATTGACAGTCTGATACAAGTATGATACAAGGTGGCTTTATAATATGAGATTTATAAAAAAAAAATTTCTTTTAACCATAAAAATAGGAACTACAATTATTATCAAGACATCACAGAGCTGCTCAGTCGTCTGCTGGTCCAGGTAAGAATCATACACAATCCTGTACCATGTTAGCTGCCTGGTGCCTGTACTGTTCACAGCACGCACACTGTTGGACTGCCTTGGGATTAAGGTTTCACTACACTACAAACTTCTATCGCTGTTTATTGCCACAAAGAAAAACAAATTAAATTACATTTATGAACCATTGAGATACAAAAAAACAATGAATTGCTGAGTTTTTGAAAATGATGTTTTTGTTATTCAAGCGAAATCAGATAGATAAAAAATATTAATAGCAATATTATATATGTGCTCTACTGAAAAAAATCACATATTTAAACTGTGTATTAATCAATAGTATATGTATTAATATGATCTGTTGAAATAGCAGCATAGAATCTTTCAGAATATCATTCTTGCATCTTGGTGCCACTACTTACTAATTATATTGCTTGCATTTTATCCTACAATCACTTTAAATTCTTTTAATACATATGTACTGATTTGCCATCCTTTTGGGCTGTCCTGCCTGCTTTTCTGCTTGTTTCTCTGTCATGCCCAACTACCACATTCTGTACTCTCTGCTTCTATGATTCCCATTTGCATCCATTTGCTATAGACTACTCAGCCAGGCAGCTGCAAAACAGTCCCTGTAAAACACGTCAAACACCGACTCCTTCCAAGGACAGCGTATTTGATTATAGTCCAGCTAGCATATTGAGGGGTGAGTTTGTGCATGAAGCATACATGCATGTTTTAATCTCTGTTTTTAAAAAAAAAAATTAAAATGTCCAAATCCACTGAAGCTTGTATAATTTGAATATAGTATCAGCTGTGTGGTGAGGTCAGAGGTCATCCAGTGACCCCACAAGGTCATCTCTTGAAAGTCTGAGTTGTAGCCACCCAGTGTTGGTCAGTGCATAGTGATTCAAAAGAAGTGGATGCCAACTTCAACCTTTTACCTCCAGGCCTGTTGAGGCCTGTTCATTATCAAAATGAATTGCTGTTTTCCATACCGATCCTCATGTAAAGTACATTTCATATAATTTCCAAATACTTGATTCATGTATGTGATTTGAATCATAGAAGTAGATTTTTGAGAGAGGCACCACTATTAAAATGTAACTGATCATGAATCAGATGGTTACAACTCGCTGGGTTACACTATCACGGTCACACTCACAGCTGCCACTTATTACCACTGTACTTTGATATGCACGTACAGCTACCAATAATTCTAATTTATGCACTAATCCTCCATATTAATGGCTAACTAATCTGTTGTGTTATGTTTATAATTCTGTGTTGTCATTATATAGTGATTTTTTTTTGTGATGTCATATTCACTATGTGTTCAGCTAGCTATAGGCGATGGTTTTCAGGTTTTTCTGAATTTATTAGTTGATTTAATTTTTTACCTTTTTTTTTTGAAATTTGACTTGTTTTTCATCTTACCTTTCTAAGTGGTAGGACTCTATGTGAGGATTATTGTTTTAATTTATATATTTTGAACTAATTTATGTTTCTTTAATATAAAAGAATTGGAGAGTAACTGTTATATATTTATGTGGTATTGGTAGGTTTGGATTGTACAATCGTTTGTAATACCCTGTGAATATATGAGTAAAATGTAGGGCAACTGTTTTATATGGATAAATTCTTGTGTTGATTTTGATAGGGTTCACTGTGTCCTGCTGATCTAGGACATCTAGCTGTTTTGTTACCTAGTTTGAATACTCATAAGTTTACTGTGAATACATTAATTATTCACTGGGTTTTAATTTTGTTATTTTTGCTGATAAGTAAGTCTGCTAAATTCAATCCACATGAACATTCATTGTTTCCCAGCCAAATTTGTGAACTTGGAACCCAGTAAATGTGCTCAAAACATGAAAATAGTGCAAGTAAATGGCTTTACGATAAATGTTTAATCACTATGGCAACAGTTTTGTGTTTGTGTTGTCGGTGATCTGGTTTGGACAGGGTTCACTGTACAACCTATAATTCATATAAATATAAAACAAAAACTATGGTAACTGTTTCATATATACATGTGTGTGTTCTAGTGTTCGGTTGGACAGGATTCATTGTACTGTACCATCTAAATGGGCAAAACTGGTACTTTTTTTAACTCCGCTGTCAACTTTGTCAAGCGTGATTGTCCGTCATCGTCGGTGTCTGTTTGTTTGTCGGCATCCGCGTCAACTTTTACTTTTTTGTCTTCTTGTTGAAAACTACAAGTCTAATTGCTTTGATACTTGCTGTATATGTACCCTTGGTATACATGTTCCTCTCCTAGATTTGTTCATTTTGTGATGATATCTTTAATTCTGGTGAATATTTTTTGTAATTTTTGCTAAAAATTGATATTTTGAACTTCTTGTTGAAAACAGTAATTCCAATTGATTTGATATGTATTATACATATAGGTACCTCAGGTGGACCTCAGATTTATTCATCTCGTGATGATAGCTTTGATTCTTTGATTTTGGTGAATATTTTTGTAATTTTTGGTAAAAAAATGATATTTTCTACTTCTTGTTAAAAACAGCAAGTCAGATTGATTTGATATTATACGTATAGGTACCTCAGGTGGACCTCAGATTTGTTCATCTCTTGATGATAGCTTTGATTCTTTGATTTTGGTGAATATTTTTGTAATTTTTGGTAAAAAGTGATATTTTCGACTTCTTGTTGAAAACAGCAAGTCAGATTGATTTAATATTATACATGTAGGTACCTCAGGTGGACCTGAGATTTGTTCATCGTGTGATGATAGCTTCGATTCTCTGATTTTGGTGAATATTTTCAACTTCTTGTTGAAAACAGCATGTGCTTTGACATTATACATATATGTACCTCAGTTGATCTCTCTCAAGATTTGTTCATTTCCTAAGATATCTTCAATTCTCTAATTTTGTTGGATATTTTT